TCATTGTTATTTGGCGGGCCCAGGCTGGATTCAAACCTGCCACCTTAGGTGTATGTAGCTGGCACCTTAGCTGCTTGAGCCACAGGCACCGAGTCAAAAAAACAAAACTTGACCTCAAAATCACAGGGCATGTTTAGAGGGTCTGCACCCCTGCAGTCACCTGACCTGGAGGCTTGTTACACAGGCCATGGCCTCCACTTGGCCACTTCTGCCTCAGTAGCCTGAGAAGCTGCATGTCTGCCCCTGCTAGGTGCTGATGCCACTGTTCCAGACCCATCTGACAGCCTCGACTTCCCATGTGCTCATCCCCTTTCCTGTGCAGCAGGCCGTGGCCCTGACCAGTATCTGACATGGCACTGACACAGGTAAGGGTACCTGGCGCACAACCTGCTGTGCAACAGGGTCCAGAGACAAGTGCAGAAACGCAGTCCCTGGGGCTCCTGCTGGTGGCCCTCCCACCTCCTGCCCTGCTCAGGTGCACACTCCCAGACTTGTCCCTGTTTTGCCACCCGTTGCCTGCAGCAGTGCTGTGACCTGCGGGCTAGGTGAGAAGGGACTTGCTGCGTTCCTCTCCCTGCTGCTAAGTCGTGACAGTGCCAGCCCACACTGGCTCTGGCCACATGCCCAGTGCTCTCCCTTGTCCTCTGCAGCTACTATGAACACATGCCCTCCCAAAAGATGTTCTCTGTTCAGACCACCAGGTGGTCTCCGCCTCTTGCTTGACATGGTTCTTCCCACAGGGCCTGTGAGACATCCTCCCACAACCACAAGTGCCTTGACCCTGCACTAACTCATCAGGTCTGGGCTGGGGCCTGGCACAAAAGCCCCCTCATGGGATGTTAAAAAAATAAAACAAACACAGATTCTGGAGAAACCCTCACCCCTATCTGCAGAGGCTTCAGAAGCTGAGGGCCCTGCTGCATAGACACCTGCTTCTGGCAGGGGAGGCTTAGAGCCAGGAGGCAGCTTCTGTCACCTGGTACTAGAATATGAGGGCAGAGAAGATTGTTTCTTCTCTGTTGTTGTTTCTGCAACCAAGGCTGATGGCACAATGTGCCCACTGAGCTGCTTCCAGCCAGATGCTTTTCAGCTCTGCCTCAGCAGGGGAAACTGGAAGTGAGTGTCAAGGATCAACCCAAGGTTCAAACCTTCCCCAGGACTCACAATACCCGCACCCTTTCTGGAGCACTCTATCCTTCTCCAAGGACCCATACACGCCCATTTCTGTACTCTGCCACACCTATGGCAGGCACTGAGGCACGACCACGCTGAGAGCCCCAGGGCACGACCACGCTGTCCCGCTGACGGCAGAGCCCAAACTGCCCTGACTCAATACTCCTGTGATCTGATGCTGGCTACACAGAATTCAGTTAGAAAACAAACATGTTTTAACAACATCTTTACATCTCTATCCCTTCAACCTCTGTGGAGTACTGGGCCTTCTCCCTCACCCTGGTAGGGCCTCAGGCAGGTTGCCAGCTGTGCCCTGAAACACAAGCACCACACGTCTCCCTGTCCTCTGTGCTTTCTACTGTCATCTCAGGCAGAAGTCACAGTGACAGTAATTTCAAACAGCTAAGGTAAATGTACACAGCATCACTACAAGACCGAGCACATGCCAGAGCTAACCCATCTTTGCCTGGATGACGACTGGTGTCCCTGGCAGAGCAGGCAGGCACTCAGAGGTGAGCTCTGCACTCTGCTTCCCTGTGACAAGGAGAACTTTTTAAAGGCACATCATCCATACAGACCTGACTGACACTCTTCAACCCACACATGACTTTAGTAATTATGTTTTTAGAGATCGGCAAGTGTTTGGGGAGGAGAGACATGGAGACACAGCGTGTGCTGAAGAGGCCGCAGGTTGCAGTGGACAGACATGGACTTACGTGGCTCCAGGGGCCTCCAGGGCAGCTGCAAAGACCCTTAGAACTTACTGGAACCACAACAAATGTATGTGCCTCCAGTCACATGACCCACGGCCCAGAGCTAGAACATTTCCTTCATAGAAGCAAAGAACTGAGGCAAGCTGACTGAGAAGAAAGTCTGAATTATCTCAGGAATGCCATCTCAACTCCAGCACGAGCAGATGGCAGAAGTCCCGTGTGCACCCTGGGACCCACACGTGGTTGCCCTCTGCACAGCCTGGCCTCACTCAGGGACACCTTAATTCTCTTTCAGAGGGAGGGGGAGGCAGAGCCATTCCTTACGCTGCGTCTCTGACATCTCTTGGAATCCGAGAATTCCAATCTCGGAAAACTTCATTTTCTTTGTCAAACTCCCGTTCATCTTCACCAATGGTCACGGTAAATCTTTTCTCTTCAAAATCAGGCTCCTGTTCTTTTCGAATGGTTGCTTTTTTTAAAACCTACCATTGTAAGAAGAAAGAAGTCAACATGGAGTCAGAGCAGCAGCGTGGCTGTGACTGGCAGCACCAGGCGCAAGGCCACACAGAACCCCAGGCGCCTCTGGGGGAGAAGAGCCTGAGCCTGTCCCTGCACAGAGCTGCACCCTGAACTTGAGTGAGGTGTGGTGGCACCTGCCCCTTCCTGCTGACACTTGAGGAGGTGACAGGGAGCCCCACATTCACCCGCTGATGAGCACCACATGGAGGCTGAGCGGCACAAAAAGTGAGGAGGGCTCACTTTTTCTGTCATCTCCTAGGACAGAAGCTGGCTCAGGTGAGAAAGGAGGGCTGGGTACAGCAGCGCTTGTCTCCAGACTTTAATCCCAGACAGCAGGGGTCAGAGTGGGCCTGGAGTAAGGCAGAAGGCAGTGAGGGAGCCTGAGCGCTGAACCTTGGCAGCGGAGGTGTGGACACTGGGCACAGCGCAGGCTGCCTCAGGTGGCTTTGAGTGGCCAGAGACTGCCCCATGCTTCTGGGCAGCACCAGCTGGGGTGTGGCCCAATGCCAACCAAGCCCGCAAGACTGTGCATTGGACCAGGGTTTGCCTGTGCACTAGACTGCCCCTAAGACAGGCAGACACTATGTTCTACTCTTTTCCTCTTTAGGAAACCACAGAAATAGACCCTAACTTTGGAGGCTCTACTGAGTGTCCACTACTATACGGGACCAAGGAAGTGCTAGTTCTGCGCAGGGACTGCTAGGGTTTTACCCCTTGGGTTTTCTGAGGAAATTGGTTACCTCCTTTGCATGCCGGAGTCCTCGTTCCCAGGCACTCTCTGTTGGGGGCTCTGGAGGGGGTGGAGGCAAAATTTCATCAACTACTGGCCCACCCTATTAAAAAATGAGAAGGGAAAAGTTGAGAAGGCAAGTAAAACTTTAAAATCTATAAAGAAAAGGGGGAGGAAAAACACCCCCTAAAACACAAGCTGGCCACATGCAGCCTGTTTTCCCCTCACCAGGCCTCCCCTGTCCCCAGGGAAGTCCAGGACTCTGTCCACATGGGACAACAGGAGCACTGGAAAGGTGGCTCTGAGACTCTTCCCAAGGCACAAAATGCCTTCTTGACGAGGCATATTGTCTTTAGCTTAAGATTCAGATAGAGCTTGGATGTTGGATTTGCTAGCAATTAAAGAAGTAGAGGCGTTCACGCACCCAAGGGTTGGCAGGCATCAGCGGGTGAGGTCCGAGAGGCGGGGCACCATTAGGCGGGAAAGGGTCAGCTTTGGTGATTAGGGAGTAGTTCCCCTTGTCGTTCACTCCAGGGTGTATAAACCTACAATTCATTCCCCAGGTACAGTTCCCTAAGGAAACAAAAGTCAGGTCAGAAAGGGTCTCTGAGAGCCTAACTGCACCAGGGCAGCAGCCTTCACTGAGGACCTGGGATGCGCCAATGGCCAGCTGAACCGTCACTGGATGGCAAGGCCCGAGTCAGGTAGCTGTGGCCAGCTGCCTGCTGCCCAGCTCAGCCTCCATGTCCGGGTGGCTGCTGGCCTAGCAGAGGAACTTGTGAGAGCCGGTGCTTCCTAAAGGCTGCAGGGGCACCAGGGACTTCTGAGTCAAAGAAAATAGCCTCTGTTTCAAAGTCACTTTGTAACAAGTTCACACTTATCAACTATCTACATATTAGTTTTCTCCTTAAAAAAAAAAAATCCCCAAACTTTGCAGTTTTGGGGTGCCCCAGGCTCACTGCAAGGTGACCTGCAGGCTCAGGCAGCTTCTAGCAGGTGTGGGCTGGATGTTAAAGTTGCTCACACAGAAGCAAACCAATAAGGAGTACAATGTCACCACCTCCATAGATTGCATTTCTTTTATCAATGTCCTCACAAGCCATTGCAAGATATTTCTTTCTTTCGAGACAGGTCTTGCTGTGTCACTCAGGCTCCTGGTCTGGGCTCAAATGATCCTGCCTCAGCTTCCTGTAGCTGAGCTACAGGTGCCCGTCACATTTTTACTAGAGATGGGAGTCTCGCTCTTGCTTAGCCTGGTCTTAAACTCCTGAGGTCAAAAGATCCTCCCACCTTGGCCTCTCAGAGTGCTGGGATTATAGGTGTGAGCCATTGTGCTGGCTCATTTCAAGGTATTTCTGGTACTTAAATTGGTCTTTCATACTTTGTTCACAACAACAGATAAACTCTTCAGCAACAGAACATCAGGATCATTAAAGGAAAACCACTTGACTTTTCAGCACAGAAATGTAAGACATCTAAATCTTTAGTGAACTGCTTTTAAAAAACTTACTTTTTAAATAGGTAATATGCACACAAAGTTCAAAAACAAATGTGGCAGATAGTATCTATGTAGTTTTAAAAAACATTTCAATGGGTCAACATGTAGTTAAGATTTTAAATCGCTAAAAAATATAAATTCAATCCTTAACATACTATATTTGGACATTTCTGTCAATAAATCATGTTTTTCCTTATAGGATACAACCAAATTAAACCAAAATAATGTAGTATTTAGGAAAAGCCAAATTTTATCTTTGAACACTATGAACACTTAAGCTTGCATTAAAACCAGTCTAATACAACATGATGGCATATTGATCAAAACTATGAAATAAAGCACACTTATAAAACTGCCTCTCTGGGCGGGTGCCTGTGGCTCAAAGGAGTAGGGCGCAGGCCCCATATACTGGAGGTGGCAGATTCAAACCTGGCCTCAGCCAAAAACTGCAAAAAAATAAAATAAAATAAAACTGCTTCTCTGGGCTTGGCGCCTGTGGCTCAAAGGAGTAGGG